ACATGGCAAACAAAACAAAACAAAACAGTGATGGAATCAGGATTGTTAAAAGGTAAAGTAGAACCATTGTTGCCACAAGAATAGCCAGGGCAGCCTGACATTCAATATGGTGACAGAGGAGCCCCAGGGAAATCCTAAACATCTTAAGAAAGCTAACCATACTTATTCACTAAAGTGGAAAAGTAGGAGGAAATCTATAGGAGTATACAAGAAGTAAATAAGAATATTTGCCACGACAAGATTTAAATCTAATTCATGAACCTAGAATTCCTCATCTCATCTACCCATCCCCTTCTTAATTATTTTCTAGCTGCAAAACGTGTTTCCACTCTTCACTGCGGCCCATTTGCACGTAGACTACTGGGTCAGGGACTCCAAAGTCTGTCGAGGATGGCCACCGCCGGCAGCAGTGAGGACCTTCCCGCGGCAGTTAGATGTCAGACTGATGCGCACGCTCAGGGCAGCATCCTCCCCAAACCGGGAGCTCGCAGAAAGGTAACCACGGTGAGGGCAGCTTCTGGCTCTGGGTAAAACCTAGTTCCTTATAACAGATCACATCATCATGAGTGATGAGTGAGTGAGCGCAGCAAAATAACTCATAGACTCTCACAGCTCAACGCTGATCAAGCCTTCCTCCTGCAGGTGAACAGACACAACTGGGGGTGGGGGGGGGAGCGTATTCCCGCCAATTTCGGAGCATATGAAAGTGGGAAGGATGGAGACAGATTCCTGTCAAGGCTATAACGACTCTTAGGAGACATCTGGAATGACATTGTCAGTGAAGTCTAGAAAAATGCACCTGTTCAAGAGATTTTTAAATCCTTACCAAGTTAAAAAAAAAAAAGACATTAGCAGTAGAGACTGATTAATTCATCCCATCACAGATCATCAAAAGCACAGTGTTCCCACCCAGGGATTTCAGCAAGTTGTTCTGGTATTTCAAGCAGAAAAAACTGAGTTCCAAATGAGCACATTCAGCTTTGGAAAACTACATTATTTAATCTAGACTATCTTGTTTTCAAATTTTAGAATTTTAAAAATAAAATCCTTCACATTCTAAGTTGTCAATAAAATAGACCTTCAAGTTATATTAATGCTCTTTTTTCCCCAGTAGGAAAGTGTAATTTCAGCAGTAACTTCAGGCAGGAAGAGACATATTGTCTTCTCTTTAGTTTCACAGAATTTGCCAACTTTTTCTAGAAGGGTTTCTACTCAACCAGAGAAATCCTTCTAAGAGGATCTTTAAGCATAAGTTGTCAAGCACAACCTCCTAAGAATGTATTTGCTGTAGTAGTTGGCATAAAGTAGGATGAATGGGGGTGTGCAAGGGAACAGCTCTAACCGAACTGCTGTTCAAGGTTCCTGATTCCTAAGAAAGGTAATTCAAAGGTGAACGCTTTTGCAGTGTTAGAAAGTTCTGATTTGGCTTGTTCTCTGGACGACACATAGAAAAACACCACCACTTAATAGGAACTTGGAGTAATTTGTAATTTTGCTCTAGCTCCTTAAAAAGGTCCCAGAGAAAAAAGAAGTGGAATTTTTTTTCTGTTTTAGATTTTCACTGATCTAAAAGCTCAAACTAGTGCCTGATTTTGTAAATAAATAGCTGTATGTTTGATTCTTTAGCACAGTCATAGAAACCATAGAATAATAAAACTAAAAGCATATAAATTCACATTCACTCCCTTCAACTTTTTAAGGCTTAAGGCTATAGATGACTCATGCTTTATGTTAAGTGGGCCATTAAAATATGTTATTAGGAAACACTCAAGATTTTTGAGGGTACTTCAGTCATCACTGTTAGGTCAAACAATCATCAAAATTCACCCACTCTAAATGCATCATTTGTGAAGAAAATGTAGCAAAGGAGATATGAATTCTCTTTGCAAATATGAATGCCAAGAGCAAAACATCTTCCAAGTCCAACCTAGAATACCAAATGATTGATGTTTTCTGCTACTTGCACAGGGTTTACTATTTACTATTTTCATGGGAGTATCACAGAAAGATCACAGAAAATAGCAGTAATCCATACCAGGATTATATTTTTCATAAATATAAATAAGAGGTTGGCTCCTATCAATTATTTTCTAATTATGCTACCAGGGAAGGTAGACCAAAGTATCTGTCTTACCACTTAAAATGTAAATGCAGAACTATCCACCAACTGGTGAACAAAATGTGGACCAGCCATAGAATGGAATGAACAGTAATTAGCAATAAAAAGGAACAAGCTACTGATACACGCTACACCCTGAATGAACCTCAAAACCACTGGTTCTAGGTGAAGGAAGCCAGATACGAAAGACCATCTATTGTATGATCCCATTTGTGTGAAATGTCCAGAAAGTCAAATCTAAAGAGAGAGAAAGCGGATTAGTGGTTGTCTGGGGGTAACAAATAGGAAGGTGGGGTCTTTTTGGGATGCTGAGAATGTTTTAAACCTGGGTTGTGGTGATGGTTGCACAATTCCATAAATTTACTAAAAATCATTGAATCATACCCTTGGATATATTTTATGGTATGTAAATTATACTTCCAATAAAGCTGTTTTTTTAAAAACAGCAACAATGACAACAAAAAAAGAAGCAAGAATGCCTTGGACAAAGTAAGTCTTTTCCTCTGGGGCAAAATATAATTATAGTCATATTTTTCTAATTTACAGGAAAAAACAATGTGATGGATAGAATTTTCTCAATTTGAAGTTTTTCATTCATTGATTTATATGCTAAATTATTGGCACCCACTACAAGTTTAGTTTTTATTTAATTTGCACGAAATTGATATTTAGCTATTTCAGACTTAACATCTCAATTTTTCTTAATATTTAACCCAGAACATGTGATTCCTAAATTTTTCCCCAATCTAAGCAAGAGAGAAAAACACTGACCTGAATAATATATAAGTTCCTTTATAATTTTAGAGTTGACTAAATTGGTGAAAGAGAGTATGTGATTTGAAGATAATCTAGTTTCAGTCACTGTCAAAACTGGTAGATGATCACTGATATGGTTCTTATCTATGATCTCAAGGTGTCCTGGAGGACTCCAGCATTGTGTAAATTCCATGAGGACAGGAATGTGACTTATTTACACAATGCTGTATCCACCCCTCCCTCCCAATCTGAACTCAAAACAAAGTGCTCTGCCCAACAGGTGCTCAACAAATGCATGAATGGGCCCACAAATCCACACATGCACCAAATATTTTCTAAAACTGAATGTGCACACACTCATGCTTTTGTTTTACAAACCCATGTAGCTGGCTGTTTTCTACCTTAGTAAAATGCAAATTCACTTAAACATGTTATTAAGTTGATAGTAACATTTTGCCATTATGAATTTATTTTCTATTGATAAATGGCCTATAATTTTAATATAAATATCTCAGTTCAAAAGATTCGAAACCAAGACTTTGAAAGACTTTTAGATTCCTTTCAAAACCTTCAGTTCCTTCCTTTTTCAGTCATGATCCAAACAAATAAAAGTATGCCTAATTTTTCAGCTTCAGCCAGAATTTGGACTACAACTAAGCCCACTGTCCAGCACATTGTAAATCAATCAGCTAACAAATAACATGCCTGTTATTAATTCACAAAACTATGAAGGGGAATGATATAACTGAAATAGTGTATTTATTTCAAAAGTCTCTTTTTCATTAGTGCAGGTTTAGTTACAAAATTTATTTAGCAAATCACAAAGACGGGAACCTTAAGAAATTTGCAGGAAGTATAAGATGTTTTTCATTCTTTCTGTAAGTAGCTGAGGAACCACAAGGGTACACCCTGCCTTAGGCACAAATTCCTCTGTGTCAGGGACCTTCACTCTAAAACTCTCAGTGTAGGGGGGAGAGGGTGGGGGACAGGCCAGTAACAGGAAACAAAGCACCAATTGTGTCTGCCACGGTCCCTGAGACTCTGGCTCAGATCATATTTCTGAAAAACCAGACTTCTGCACAACTGAATATTTAATAGCATTAGGTAAAGTCAAAAGGGCAGATTATCTTTTCCTTATTGCAAATGCAGAATAATTCCCTTTGATGCTTCATCTAGTCTATATATACCAAGATAGTAAAGAAAGTTTTGATTCCTAAAATAAAACAACTGTAGTATAATGGTAAACAGACACAGCTCTGTTATGTTTGGGGCTAATTGCTTCTAATCCTTATTTTATACATTTATATATTTATATTTATATATCTATATATTATATATTTCATATACACGATGTATTCTTATATATTTTATATATAAAATATATTTTATATATATTACATACATATATATATATATTCTCTCTTTTGAAGAAGGGTGAAAAATTTACAGCCAGGTCTTCACTCAATCTAACAACTATCCTTACACTGTCCTGTACTATATTCTTCAGTAAGATAATAATGCCCCTTTGCACACCTGCCAAGAGCTCTGTAACTTCCAGCTCTAAAATCCCAGGGCAGTGGAAAACTGTCAGCCAATGGGCTGTTCTCCTTTCGGAATACGCACCTGCAGCTACAGAAGCCAGCCGGAAGGGAGGAAGGGTTAAGACAACCACCTTTATTCATTCGTTAGTGCTCTTAAAAAACTGCGGGCCCAGGGACCTGTCGAAGCTGCCACAAGGGGACAGCAAGTCTTCCGGTCCTCTCAATCTCGGAGACCCCTGGCAAAGGGATTGCAAAACAGTCCCCTAAATAAATAAGCAGATGTGCGGCGGGCTAAAGGAGGGTTATCCTTTCTCGGGGAAGGGCAACTCTTTCTCTTCCGAGAGGAGCACAAACTTCTCGCCCGGGGAATCGGGAACTTCTCGCCCAGAACAGACAGACAGGTATACAGGGAGGAATATCCTCCTCCCCAAGAACCTGTTTTTGCCGTCGGTGCGCTGAGCGGCGCTGGGGGAACCGGCTCTAAGGGCCCCGGACGTCCACTCACCCGGGGCGGGGCAGGGAGGGGAGGTGACCCGGCGCGCGCCGCAGGGGCTGAGCTCGCGGGTCGCCGGGGGCTCGCCTACCTTGGAGCGCGCGGGGGTCCCGACCTTGCTCTCCCGCCAGCCGCCACGGTCGGCTCCGCGGGGCGTTGGTGGCTCCGCCGCCGTCAGATTGGGCTCCGCCCCGTCGGGGGCGCCCCGGGCAGAGTCTGGCGTCTGGGAGACTCCGGGGAGGAGCCCGCGCTCCCGCCGTACCAGGACGCACACGCCCAGCTGCACGCACCGGGGTGTGCACTCCCTGCACCCCCCCCCCGCCCCGGTCCCCAACACTGCACTCCTGTCGGTGGAGAGATATAAAAGGGGCTGTTTTTGAAGAAAGTTCTGGTTGCACTCTCAGTTCGTGAGCTTTTGTCTTTGTTGATGATATAAAACTTTTTATTTTGGAGTAATTTTAGATTTAGCAAAAAGTTGCAGAAGAGAGTACAGAGTTCCCTAAACCCTTCAGCCGGTGCCCCCTAATATTCACATCCTACGTCTGTACGTGTGCACGTACGTATAGTACATAGTACACTTGTCAAAGCTAAGAAATTAACACTGGTTCCTTACTATCAACTAAACTCAACCTTTTACAGATTTCACTAGTTTTCTGCTGGTATCTTTCTGTACCAGGATCCCATCCAGGGTTCCACAGTGCATTTAGTGTCATGTCTCTTTAATCTCTTCTGGTCTGTAACAGTTTAAGTCTTGTTTTTCTTGATCATTTTCTAGAATTCTGCTCAGCTGTCTTGTGGGTATCTCTCATTTGGTTTTGTCTTTTGCTTTCCTCATGATGAGACTGTGGTTATGGGTTTGGTGGAGAAAGACCACAATGGGAAAGTGCCTTTCTCATCACAGCCTCCTACCAGGGTACATGATAGAAACATGACTTAACTGCTGGTGATATTAATTTTTATCACTTGGTTGAAGTAGTTATCTGCCTTCTTTCTCTACTGCACAGTTACTAGTTTTCTTTTTCCATACTCTTTTCTTTGGGTGGGAGTCACTAAGTTCAACCTATATCAGGAGAGGAGAGTCGGGGAATGAAACTCCATCTGGGAGCGGGAGGGGCTATCTACATATATCATTGGAACATTTCTATAAGGAGGATTTATTCCTCCTCTCCCATTTATTGACCTATTCGATCGTTTATTATGTCACCTAAATAAATATACCCCGCATGGACTCATACATATTCATTTTATACTTGGAGCTATAATTCAATACCACATTATGTATGATGTTGTTCAAATTGTTCCAGCTTTGACTCTTGGGAGCTCTTTCAGGTTGGTTCCTGTGTCCTTTTGGAAGTTCATAAACATTTAGGGACTGGGGATAAAAAGCTCACTAATTATTGGCTCCACTCCTCTCACATTTAACAGATACAGAAAACTGAAACCCCAGCCCCTTAATATCTTGAGGGCTATTCTGAATCTGCCTGGGAATCCCATGATTACTGGTTTACAGCCTGGTAAAAAAAAAGGGGGGGGGGCAAAAAAATTGTTGTTTTGTCTATTTGTTTGTTTTCCTAACAGATGAACTTGTAGTTTGGGACCCAACTGGAGAAGTGAAAGTTGAGGTTTCCTTAGGTAAATTTTGGTCAACTAATCCTTGTGGTTCTATTAATAGATATATGGATATTTATAGACAAATCATGTTCCAAAGTTAGCCACGGGTGTTTATAATTGCATTAAACATTGAAGAAACCCTGCTGTTGAGGATCCTTTGTTACGTTGCTTTGGATTGCTCCAGTTCGCATTTGCAAGCTGGTCCTGTAAACACTACATTTCCTCCTTCAAAGCTGGAATCTGGGACGCTGCCTTGCGTTCTGTGACCCTCATCTCTCTTTCTGGCCTTAACCTTTCTCAGAGAGGAAATCTACTCCATTAGTCCGAGTTTTGCCAGGTAAACACAGGATGGGTAGCCCAGTGAGTAATCCAGCACCACGGAATGAAGAGGTTTTCTACTTTTTAAGCATTTTTGACAAAGTTACTAAAAATAATAATACTTAAGTGTTTTTCCATTTTGGAAAACTAAATGTTTTCCATTTTGTATTTAAGTCCTACCATATCCCAGAGAAATGGAGTAGGTCAGAGGTAAAGGTGAGACTTCTGTGCATTTTCCTGGAGGGAGAGAGAGGACTCTAACTGAAACTAATCATTCTAATCAGTATCAAGTACTGACTGTATTTCATAGTTCTCTAAATGACTATTACCTAAGTAATTTTAATAACTTTCTGGGGAGGAGAGCAGAGAACCACTCAGGATTAAGGAGAATATGGAACTATAAAATATTAGCAACTTATAATAGTGCTGCCCAGGAAAATCCATAAACCATCCTTAAATTTAAAACTCCGGTGGTATGTCTCAGAGGGTGGAAATTGAGGAAAGGAGGATCAATGTTTATGGATTTCTCTCATAGCTGTAGCATTTGATTGCTATTTTTATGTCAGAATGTACATAAATCACTTTAAATAGCCATATTTTCTAAAGCTGCTTTTCTTCACATTTTACCTACGGTTATCCACATTTTTTAAAAAGTATTATGTATGTTGGGGAATGGCTTGGATTGTAGGGATTAGAGCACCTCAAACCACCCTCAGCACCCTCACTGAATAAATACTCTGACCCTGTGTCGGGGTTCACTAAAAAGGGAGGATTTGGGGGATGGAGAACCAAGTAGCAGATGCAGTCTTGCCTCTTGGAGCACACTACACATTATTGTCCGGGTTAAAAGTGGCTCGGACTGTAAATCGAGTGCCCACATTCAGAGCCTCTGCCTTGTAGCATTCAGACTGGGGCTCATATTTGAAATCACTGTTGTTTATTTCTATTTGGGGGTTATTTGCTACAAGGAAATTGTATGTAATATGTATTTTCAAATGCAAATCCTACCACGTCATTTCAGCTCTGCCCCTCCCCCAATACACACACACCCACCCACGCCACCACCACCGCTACCATGCTTTGAAACCTCCTAAGGACCTTGGGTTTAAAGCCTAAGCCCCTCCGCCCTGCAGAGAAGTCGCCCACCTCCATCCCTCCTGCTTCCTCTCTTGCCACATCACCACATTGTTTGCCAGCAAGGTGAATGGTTTGTACTGTCCCAAACCCTCTCTTGTTTTTCACTTTATGTTCCATTTTGCCCTAATTCCCCACATGAGCACCCCCCACCCCGTAGACAAGAATGTCCTTTCCCCTCCTCTTCCCCTGGAAATTCCTGCTCACTTTATTCAGTATGTACAGGGAAACCTTCCCTTGAGATTCCCCCGCTGACGTTGAGCAGCCCACTTAGGTCTTCCCCACGAAATGCTCCATATATTGCATTTGTTATTGTTTTAGTTTCCGACAGCTGCTGTAACAAATTACCTTGAACTTGGTTGCTTAAAAAAAATACGCATTTATTATCCTACAATTCTGTGGGTTGGAAGTCTGATATGGCGCTCATGGAGCTAAAATCAATACATCAGCAGGCCCTGTTCCTGTGAATCTGTTCTCTTGTCTTTTCCATCCTTTCTAGAGGCTGCCTGCATTTCTTGGTTCTTGGCCCCTTTCTCCATCTTCAAAACCAACAACATACCTCTCTCCAACTCTGATTCCAACTCTCCCTGTTTCACTTGCAAAAACTCTTGGGATTACATTGCAGTCAACTGGATAATCCAGGATCATCTCACCCATTTTAAGATCCTTATCTTAATCCCATCTGCAAAGTCTGTTGTGCCATGGAAAATTACATATGCACAGGTCCCAGAGATGAGGACCTGGACATCTTTGAGGGGTCATTATTCTGCCCGCCACTGCTGTGCTGCTAAGTCACTTTATGATTCAAACGTTAAGTTTTGTCATTAAATACTTCTTTTATGCCACAAAATCAAAAAGGCTTGGCAACATTATGAAGGAGGCATGCTCGCTTTCCTTTTTAGTGATGCCTCTGTCTGTCTTTCTCTTCTTTTCTCTCCCCTTCCCATAGCACCCCCAGAGCGCCACCCAAAGGAGTTGGATGTTGGAAGATTTTTCAAGTTTTTTCTCCTTCCCCATACCTACAGTCTTACTGGGCTTTTTGGGACTTGTTGATGGGCGAAGAGAAAGCAAATGTAGAAATGAAGGCATTTGATCTTAACAGAATCGAATCGTGTAGGCCCCCTGAGTCTTGCAGATTGAACTCTGGGCCCAGGGAAAACGCACTGCACCTGCATATCTCTCACCAGCGGGGAACCACAGTCTGTCTATCCTACGCAAGCTGCCTTGCTGAGCATTGGGGTCAATTGTTATAATTTTAAATTTCAATGAGTTTGCACTTGAAATGGGTAAGTCACATACGCACATGGAAAATAACTATAAATACTATTATGTAGTAAATTAAAATATTCCCAAACAAAAAACTATCACTGACTAGTAGGAGAGCTAACGGTACTAGATGACTAAGAGAGAGAGTATTGAGTTTAGTCAGTGCCCCAGGGAAATCCTCAGGAGGAAGTAGGATTGGAACTGGGTTTTAAGTGTAAGTACTGACTAGGAAAGATACTAGGGTTTGGGCTGGCTAACAAAGAATTCTTGAGAATTCTTTGGTGCAAAAATGTGATTTTACTGAAGCTTGGGGACAGGCCCCTGGGCAGAAAGAGCCACACGGGGGTCGTGAGGAGAGGCCCATTACACACTTTCAAGTTCAAGCTGAGAGGGGATTAGGAATAGCCTAAATCTCTAAGGAATTTTGGAAGCAAGGTTTCCAGGACCTTGAGGGGGCTAGCTATTGTTAGGGAAAGGTCATTTATTACTGTCTAGTAAAACCCTAGTCATGAGACCCTTCAGATATATATCGGTGGGTCGTTTGCTTGGGGGATGACTGCCACCATCTATCTCGGGAGTTAGAGATAAAGGAAGTTTCCAAAGGAATTTTTAGATGTTAAAGTAGACTTACAGGATCCTGGAGGTTGGGCTAAGATTGACTTTTGCCCTTAGCAAAGTATTAACATTGAGGCAGCTGAGCTCCTAGAGGAATGTCACTCTGCCTGCTTCAAGGACTTGTCAGTGGGCTGTAGGTAGTAAGGAAATTTAATTTTTCTTTTGCCTTTATTTCCCACATCAGTACCGTGTTACGTGGGAGAGCATGGGAGCCTTT